GCCGGGCCGAGGCGGGCGGGCCGGGGCCGCTGGGCAGGGCGGGTCGGTGCGGCTCCGCTTTCCTTAACCCGGCACATCTCATTCGCTCCATTAACGACCCCGAGCACCCCCTCACCCTGGAGGAGCTGAATGTCGTCGAGCAGATGCGAGTGAAGGTGAGAGCGCGGAGCTGCTGCCGGCCCGAACGCGCTGCAGGTGCTGCTGCCGCCGGGCCAACACAACTATTTCTTCTCTAACATTAAAGAGGCTTATTTTAGGAGTCTCCTGCAGCTAAACACAGCATGTTAAGGTGTCAGTGAATAAAACGATAAGCGGCAAAGCACAGCTTCAAGCTGCGTTTCACATGCAACGCCTCCAGCTCGCCTGGGGTAAAGCCAGTGGGTGTTGTACATGGAGGTGTGTGGTTCCCAACAGGTGAACGATGCAGAAAGCACAGTGACAGTGGAGTTCACTCCCACCATTCCTCACTGCAGCATGGCAACCTTAATCGGCCTCTCCATAAAAGTGAAACTGATCAGATCTCTGCCTGAGAGGTTTAAGGTGAGTAATGAAGTGCTCTGGAACCAAAATAGGGGTGTGGTGTTGGAAAAGATAAAAAGAAAGGAAAAATAACAGGCTGCCTAATTTAAACTGAGAAATAACTAGAGCCTATTTCGTATGAGGAGTGAGGGAAACACTCCAGGAGCCACAGAGGGCAGTGGACTGAAGCATTGATGCAGAATTAGGGTTCTGTGACTGTCATGTCAAGGGCAAGTGGGGTTATGGAGGGAAGTGACCTGCAGTGCTCAGGAGGGGGACAGACTGGTGCCTCACCTTCTGTTTGAAGGGGGCTTAAGCAGATGGGAATGCAGAATATTCTGTAATTTCAGACTTCATTTTATTCTGCTATCTACAGTAACTGTTACTGGCAAGAATGTTATTTTTCCCCCTCTTTTTGTTATTGCCTCATTGTTATTATTAAATAACTTGAACTTGAGCTTCCAATGTTTTATTGAATTGTCTTCTTTTTTTTTTTGGTGCTTTTTAAGCTGGATGTTCACATAACACCAGGAACACATGCCTCTGAACATGCAGGTAAGGTTTTTAGTGCTGTTGTGTGGGTTTGTTTTTTGGTTTGTTGTTATATTGTTTTTTTTAAGTTAGAGAGACTTCCACACCTGCAGAGCAGCTGTCTAGTTTCTGGGACTTCACATGCGTCAGCTTCTAGGGGATGTTACAGAACAGGAGTGTGTAATAATGACACTCAAGTGTGTTCTGTACTGTACGTCCCCTCAGGCAACCTGTGCTCACAACTAGTTATTGATTTTCCTGGGTTATGGAGGACTCAGAAAATGGGGAGAGGCTGACAGGAAATTTCCTTTTGTATTACACCTGCACATGTGTAGCTCCCTGCTGCTGAAGCATAAACAGCTTGCTGGCTTCAGCTGTGATAACGTGGTAGGTTTGACTTCAGACTGCAGCTCTGCAGTGTGTATTACCAGTCTACCCGAATACCATGGCAACAGTGTTATTATGTGTCTTAATGTAAAATGCTTTAACAAAGCCATTGTATACCAATGTTTTGACCAGTTTCTTGTGTTTTTTTCCTGTACAGTTAATAAACAGCTTGCTGATAAAGAACGTGTAGCAGCTGCTTTGGAAAACTCTCACTTGCTGGAAGTGGTGAATCAGTGTTTGTCTGCTCGATCATAGTTGCCTGATGTGGAAGTTGTTGGTATTTGCTATTTAAACTCATTTTGTATATAAGTGGTGATGCTAATAGTGCACTATACACATATCTGTAAGCAAAATAAAATCACTTGGATTTTCCTAAAGAAATGTTTCATTACTCATACAAAAATAGTATGTGGGAAATCAGCTTATAGGGAACTACAAAAATAATTAAAATCTACTGTTAGATGTTGTTAGTCATTGCATAGGTAGAACTTGTCTTTAAAACTATTTGTTTCAAGCTGTTTTCAACTGGTTTCTCACTGTTCAGAATTAGTTATTAGCTGCATTTTGGAAGTGCATTTTGCACATTGGTGCACCAGGGTAGTTTTACAGGTACACCAAGACAGTTGTCAATTAAAGTCTTTACATTCATATGACTGTTTTGGACTGCTAATACAGTTTTAGCTTCAGACGTGAATACTTTTGTAAGTTCATGTGTGCAAAGTTGTAACACATATTAGCAATAAGTGTAAGCACTTCTAAATCATCTGCTTGGTTTTATTATATGAACTTGGATTAGCCAAATATGGAGGGCTCCTCAGAACAGTATAAAAAATTATTTAATTTTAATTACTCATTATTTGTGGTACAAAATACAGCATCTTTGAGGTGTGTTTTTTCATGGCACCTGCCACAATATAAGAGAGCAATTAATAGTTTTCAGTATGAACAGTCCAGCTACCCTCTGCTGAAAAACTTCCCTGGCAAAGTCTGACAGCTAAGTGAGAAATGTATTGAGACTTAATAGTATTACCTAAGCTGTGCCTCTGGTCTGTACAATATGGCATTTACAAAACTATTGTCACTGGCAGAAACTGATAGAAAAATTCATTAAGACAGAATTCCAAAATTAATTTTAACTTAAAAAAAGGTATTTCTAATCACAGATCACATGGAAAAATAACCATCTGTTAAAGAAATCCTATCAGGTATTTTGGTGCCTGCACACATACAATGTTACCTTCATCATCATCAGTTATCTAGAAAGTAACACACTTTGCAACAAGTAGATTGTGCTTGCCTTTTTGATGGCAGTGCTTTATATTTCAGTAGTATTTTCTTTTGAAGGGTCTCAGATGCTATTTAAAAAATAGTGAAACTTAAGAACACCAAGGGAATGGCAGCCTAGTCATCCAGTCTAGTCTGTGTTGAGCGGCTGAGGAACCTGAGGCACTGGTGATTCAAGTGTTACGTCTAAAGTCACTTAGCAAAATAGGACAGAAGCAAATCCAAATCTCCCTGTTTCAGAAACTAGGCACACAGTTTGCACAGGGCTTCTACAGAAAGCCAACTCTACAGCAGCCTTAATCTGCTTATCTGTCTTAGCATCCTTTGAATGACCAGCACTTGCTTGGATATTGTAATTAAACTATAAATAAAGACAGTATTCATGTGGTATTAATGTTGGGAAAATAGCAGAACAACCCAGCTGTTAATACTATCTTTTCTCTCTGCCTCTCTTGTTGAATCACTGCACTGATTTGTTCTGACATTGCCAACATTTGCACCACAAATGAAACTTCAAGCATGAAGTCCATGTGGGCAGCTCGTAGGCAACACGCTTGGTTGATTTGATTTTTTTTTCTGGGTTGTTTTTTTTTTGTTTTTAATTAGAATTGAATTTTGCACTCCCAGATTTTGGGGAAGAAAGGAATGCAAATATGTGCCATGGGGAAAACAGAAGGATGACTAAGCTGCCAACAGATTGCTTCAACCTGTACTCCCAGTGCAGAAGGAATCAGTAAATTATGCTTTGTTCAGTCCCTCTGCTTAGCTTTCTTCACTAATAATAATAGCGTTAAATAGTTTATTTGGATGTTGGCACTTGCCTCGTGGAGCACATTGTACACAGTAACCCTAGTGTGCACTTTGAACCATTTATCTTTTCAGAAAAGCAATAGTATGTAGTTAGATTGTTTAAATTTACAGTATTTAGTTGGAGGACAGCTTTTCGGTAAAGGGACTCTATTGTGGGATATAAATAAAATGTCTGACTTACGCTGCTTAGGGATGGAGAATTCAACTCATTTAGATCTGGTATGTTTCTTTAAGTAATGTGGATATTTTATTTATGAAATCATAGAAACAACAGTAAAGACAAGCCACAGTTACCATGCTGAAGATCACAGGTCCTCCTGCACAGGCTCCCTCAGCTTGTCATTCAGCAAGTGTCCAATGTACCACCAGTCCTAGGTAAAATCTTCCATTCCCTGCTTTTAATGATCGTTAGCTGGTGTCTGCTGTATGGAGATAAAGTGGGAGAAGAAAACATTAATTTGTTACAAATACTTCTTTCTTTTTCCAAAAAGCTACCTTTAAATTTAGCCTCTGTAATGCTTTGTAATAGGACACATTCCATCAGAAAATACAACCCTTTAGAGCAGTTGTGTGTTGAATACAAACAGCCTCATTCAAGTCCAGGAAAAACGCCAGAAGCAGACATCTGTTTGACATTCCTAGGCTCTGGGCAGAGCCTTACAGGGTGACTGAATGGCATTCTCTTCTCTCAGTCTGCAAATACTGCAACAGAAGATCCCTAGGGCAACTGCCTGTGTTGTGCACTATAGTAACAGGCCTGTTTGATCTCACAGACCAACACAGTTTGTGCCTTTCAGGTTCCATCACACTGCACATACTTGGGCCTGCCCACACAGTCCTGCTCTCTGGGAGAAAATGGACTTTTTCCCAGCTGCTCCCATAATTGCTGCCTCATACCAGCAATGTGAAATTTTTGAAGATTGTTCATCCCCTAATTTCATGAGCAGCGGGGAAACAGCTCAGCAGCTTTGTATCCAAAGATGTAACTGAACTGTCCCATGGAAGAGCCTCACACTTCAGTGACATTATTTCTTGTGCTCCTTGGCTGGAGCTATGTATCAGGAACTGTTATTTCAGTCTTCTAGCCATGCTTAAGATTGATGTGTTTATTTACATCAGTGAAGTGGTTTGATAAGGATCTCCCTCTGGAGTTTTGATTTATAGACTACCTGTTTTACAATTTATTTTTTTTATAGCTGTTAAAAAATTTCTCTCTCTCCTGTCAAGCAGGCAACTATATCACTCTCCCTTCCTTTACAAAAGGTGCTGTTTGGCATAAATACAGACTGAACAAGGGGGAGAGTCAACTTTTTTTCCTAAACAAAAGTTTATAGCAAAATCTTTCAAATGTTACTGTGGAAAGCTAAGTATCAGCAAAGAGAATAAAACCAGGGAAGGCTGAGGCTGTTATTTGTGTGTTTAAGTCTGTTAGTACGTCTCACAACCATTTCCCAGCAACACTTAAAAGAAATGACATAAAACTTTTTTCATTCCACAAAATGATAAAAATACATATTTTTACAAAACATATAAATAGTAAAGAGCCCTCATTTTGTCCAACACACTTCAGTAGTTGCAGAAGACATGCTATCACATTCTGTAACCTTACGTATTTCTTACTTTCAATTAATACATTTCTTCTTTGTTGTCCTACCTGTAAAGAGCTTTTGCACCCTGCAGCATGTGCTCTGCATTCCTGAACTTTCCTTTGTGGACCAAAGGGGCAGCCCTGTCCACAGTGATGAAAACAACCTGGTTGGTTGGTTGGAAACCCTGCTCTCCCAGCTTCATTTCACACACTCATCAAGATTGCTGAGTAACTTACCAGTTGTCTCATCAGTTTTGCTGCTTTTCAGCATCTTGTTGCAGCACATGCAAGCTTCAGATGCCAAAGCTGTCCTCTTTAGCACAGAATTTAAAATAGTCTGTGGTTCCCGCCATTAGCTCAGCTGGAGGAAGAGAACAGGGCAGAAGTTAATTTCCAGCAATCCTGTGTAACAAATACAACATGGCAATGGGGAGCAGCTGCTGCCTAGGAGCTTTGAGAAGGCACAGGAATAGAAAGAGAAAGAAATGGCAGGGTCTTACAACACTTCACTGTGCTGCCTCTCTCTGGGGGATGTGTCCAGCCTTGGTCTGCGGCAACATGGAGAACAGGCAGCCTCCCCAGTGTAGGAGACTTTGTTCTCCAAATTGCAAGGAAAATAAGTGATCTCCCATTACTGTATCCTAAGCATCTCCCATCCCTCTGGTTTCCTTGTTCCCCACAAGCTGGTTGCCTGAAGGGAAGATTCCCATATAAGGCCTGTAGCTAAGGTGTGGCCACAGCGTGTCCCCCCTTTTCCCTCTCTTGCTGGATTTACACAACCCACCCCAGTGCTGCCCTTGTTCTGCTGCAGATAAAGAGAAAGCCTTTGCTGTCCCACTACAGGTAAGTCACAAACAGCAGGAGGATCAGGACAAGTACCTATGTAAAACTAATGATTTAAATTAATGAAGGGAGATGCACGCCTTGCCAGATCATAAGTGCAGTGGCCAAAGAGCTCAGGCAGCAGCTGTGGTGGCTTTGAGCCAAGCAGGAAGATCCAAGCAACTGGCAAGTCATCACTGCCAAACTCCCCATTATTTTGATGTAACTTGGAGATTATGGTTTATCATAGCCCTTTTTTTCTTAATTTTCCCAAATTAGTTTCATCTGGATTCCCATCAGATGTGTCACACATAGCTTTGACCAAAATAACCTCAGTAGATTGTCAAGAGTTTGCATAACCCCAGAATGCCTTGGCAGCTTCATTTCTTTACATTTTTGCTAATGGAAGAGCTGGCACATGCTCTGTCTGAGGACTATGAAGGTATCTAAACAATACTTTTTATTTAGCTTGCAAAGTGACAAATAAATCATCCATGCAGTCTGAAATGCTTGCTGAAAAACAATACATGCCAATAAATTCCATTTTTTTCCCTAACAGTTTTAATAGAAGAAAACCAGTTTATTACTGAAAATCATAAAATAGTTTCATTAACACTGCAGCCAACATTTTAAAAAACACCATTACTTCTGAGGTAGATAGAAAATAATTAGCAATGAGTGACATAAATTGTTTCTCTTCAAACTGGTACTGACTTATTTTTAAAACAATGGATTTCAGACATTATTTTTT